GCCTACATCGCTCTCCGCAAGCATATACGCACGACCGAAACTGGTGATTAATTAGTCTCCCCCTCCCTCCCCCTCCTTCTCCTCTACCCCTCGCCCACCCTTCTCTTCGCCCTCCCTCCCCCTTCCCCTATAACAGTTAATTGGTTCCCGCCCCCTATAACTGTTGCTCACTTTTCGTTGACGGTTTACCCCTGACGATGGCCTCCCGCAAGAGCCTGAAAGCTCAGATGAATAAAATAACGATTCCGGTGATCGCAACGACTTCTTCTAGAATATAGTATCCTACTATCTACCCTCCCATTTCTTTTTTTCTCATAGGGAACTTGGTGTAAGGTCGTAGTTGCCCGGTCCTCATTAATAAGCTAAACTGGTGCGATAAGACTAATTTCTTGAGAACATCAATTGGCCGCAATGAAACAGTTGATCTGTGGATGTTTGGCAAACCATAGACTCCGACCCTACCAGTGGTGTACGGTTTCGTTTGACGCTTAAGTTATCCGTGATCATTTTTTTTTGCACAGCAATCCTCTAAAAAATTATTCTATCTATCTGTTGTTACTTTGACCTGTGATATGTATGCCAGTCTGTAAAATTTTCCGTCGTCAAATAGAGGCTTTATCGCTGACGCCTAGCCCGTAAAGCGCACGTGACCGCGCTCCCCTATCTGTTTCTGGACAGCCAATCACAAGCGCCGTATATTGCTATTGGCCAAGCAGTTGATCAAGCGGCAATTGACTCATTTTCGCATGACGTCTGTGCATTCACGCCCACATCAGGCTGCCAGACGGACTCGCGCGCAGGATCCAGGGCCTGCTGCGTGTCGGGGCTTCAGACCACCACTGAGTTCCTGTACACATTAAACAACTCTTACTGGTCTTATCCCTCCTCCTCCTATACGGAACTCAGTATGATAATTGTAGTGCTCTGAGCAGACTCACGGCTTAGACACCTACAGCCTAACTTTAGAAGAAGATAATGCGATCACTGGAACAAGAGTTTTATTATCCTGACGTTTCTGATTCCGTCGGGAAGCCTTAGTGACAGGTGATGGTAGGGTAGTCATAGTCATTCGCAGATAGGTTTGAAGCATGCACAGGTTGCACGGTATTTATAGTTCATAGTGGTCACACGCACGCGAATGACCATAAATACAGTGCAACCTGTGCATGTTTCAACCCTATCTGGGAATGACTATGACTACCCTAACATAACTTTTGACTATGGATTCCCGACGGAATCCGAAACGTCGGGATAATAAAACCCTTGTTCCAGTGATCGCATCCTCTTCTTCTGAACTGCCTCCTGCAACTCGCATATTCTCCACTATTCACAGGCTTAACTTTCGTTGGTAGTAGTCTCGGTTCACAACGACTCCGTGATTATTCCGTAAGAGTAAACAAGCAGACAAATTATTCGTCCACAATCAGATCCTTGACTGAAACACACTTACTTATTCTTTTCTCAAGCACCTTTCTGGAAATTATGTCTCCCGTAGTCGATTATTTCAATTCTTACATCGGTGATGGGGAATCAACACTTATGCGATGGAATTCGTAGTTGCTGTCCTGCTCGCTGTTAAGATGAGATATTTTGCACCAAGCTCAAGCTTCCCGTATATGCGGATTGTAACCCAGCTTGTTTTCTGAATAGACCCTCTCTCTTTCCCTAGACGGGGATGCATCTGAGCACCTCTTTTTGAAGTCAACGGCAATAGGACCACCGGGAATGCGAAAGCATGACATTCTAGTCTTTTCGATCGTTTCCTGCCATTCTCTTAGGAGTATCAGGCAGCCTTTGATCAGGACTCCCGTTATTAGGTTGATTAACCGACACTACATTCCGCCCTATTGACGGGAACGCGACATATTAGGCCTTGTGGCATCACTTCGTCCTAGCAACATTTGAATAGAAAACAGAGCCGTTCGTATGATGCCACTTCGCTAGTTGAAAAGAACCTTTGAGGACGTAAGGCATGTGTTGATGACAATCATTAGGAACACCTAATACAACTATATACCACTACCTGCGCGCTATTTCTTCAAGAGCCCATACAAATAAAGCAAAATGGAATGGGACAATTAACCCCATCAGCTTTATTTCACAATATGAAAAAGTATCAACTAACAACCAACATGCAAACAACATTGAGAGTTATTTCACCAGTGCATTTAAAAATGCCATCCGAAATGGAGATGCATCCTGTCCATCGCCGTCCTCACTTTGGTATCCACATGACAGAGCGCCGTATGCACCTTGTGCTTCGCATCCACAAAACAGTGCTTGCAGGCCTTGGGGTCTGGGATCAGCACATGCAGATATTGACGACAGTGTGACGAGTGATGTAAATGGTCGGCGAAAGGTAAATGACATTCCATGCACGCCTCCATGTCCTCAAAGAGACCGTCTTGGCCGTGGTAACATATCTGACAGGCCTTGGTACCGTTGAGATGCAAGATCCAGGTCATGTCCTTGCCACCGGATACGGAGATGTGCCATCGCAGGAAATGTTCGATGTAACCGGCACATTCACTCGGTGGTTTTCCTAGTATCGTCGAAGTAGCTACCACTGAGGTAACATGTTTTAAATCTTTTCGCACGATGTGCTTTGATTCCGAAGCTCCTAGCACCGACAACACTAGTAGAGATAGCAGAGGAAAGTTCATCGGGCGAAAGAGGTTGCTCACTTTGAGAATGAGATTCCCTAACATTAAGGTCGTTTGCATTACAATGAAAGAATAATGCTTAACCAATCAAATGCAGTGTTGGCGGCAAACCCCCCCCAGGCGCATTTACCCTTTGTACGTCCGGGTGATAAGCATCCACTCTCGATTGACTCTATAATACGCCCAGGAGGCCATCCATTCGCGCCAGGTCGCTGCTTGGCAATAGCAACGACAAATCCAATTAACACTGGGCTAAAGCGAGT